CAGCGGCATGGCAGCAGCACGGCGATGCAGAGGGAAGGCATGCGTCTCTTCGCGACCCTCGTAGATTTGGAGCGGGACACATCGTGCGGAGACGCAGCGAATGCGTTTCAGGCTGCACCAACGGCGGTGCTCTTCTCCCATATTGGCGTCGTGGTCCGCTTCGTCCTGGACTCGGCGAAAGCCTGCACTGACAATGTCGAGGTGAAGTGCAACGGTGTGCATTTCTTTCGCCGATGTGCGTCGTTCCCGGAAAATGTGCCGGTGCTGCTGCAGCACGGTGTCTATGCTTACTTGGCGGCCGCGCTGCCTAACGCGACGCGTGTGCCTGAACTGTTCGTGGAGCTGACCGAGGCAATCGCCGCCTTTTGCCCCCTACTGGACCCACTGCAGCGCCGTAGCCTTGTCCTCGTGGTGCGCCGTGTACTGCTGATGACAGCATCACCATTTTTTATTTCACTCTGTACAGCTGTTCTGGTGCGGCTGCTACAGGCGGCTCCGGGGGGCGATACAGAGNTGATGACAGCATCACCATTTTTTATTTCACTCTGTACAGCTGTTCTGGTGCGGCTGCTACAGGCGGCTCCGGGGGGCGATACAGAGCCGCGCTGGCGGGAGGAAAGCACTCCAGACGTGGCGGAGGCGCAAGGGGGTTTGGTGCACAGCAGTTCCACTGCGTTGCGTGATGATGACATCCGTACATTTATGGTTGAGAGCTCCATTCCGCAGCTGCTTTGTCATGCAGCCGATGCCCTTGGCGAGGACGACGCGACGCTGCGACGCACTGTGGCCGAGGCCATTGGACTACTTACTCGTTTTCACTGGCGATGAGCTGTGCTGTCGGCTGCTGCAGCGTTAGAGAAAGATGCCGTACGCCTAAGTGAAGAGATCCGAAGTAAGAGGCCGGTCACTTCGGTTTTTCTTTTTTTTTTTGGTGATGGTCGTAGTAACGACGGTGATGCTGTGTGGCGTCGCGTATGCAATCTCCCAATTCCACTTGATTTGCATTCCTCCCATTGTGAGTGCGTGCGCTCACCGGTGTACCTATCTTCATCTTCTGTCGTTGTGCTCATATGTGTCTTCACATGGTGAGTAGGAGGGCAGGACACCATTGTAGTAGGAGTAAGGGGACCGCGTTGGCTGCAGCCGCGACCATGCCACTCACGGAGCTGCAGAAGAGCCGCTTCTCCCTCCAGTTCCTCATGTTCGACAAGGACTCCAACGGCTGCATCAGCACGGAGCAGCTGGGCCCGCTGCTGCGCTGCTGGGGCTTCTGCCCCACGGAGACGGAAGTGGAGGCGGCGGTGCGGCTGCTCGACCCTGACGGAACAGGCATCATTGACAAGACGCAGGCCTTCGGTGCGGCCGAGTCGATGCTGGAGCTGATGACAACGGAGATGGAGGTGCGAGAGGCACTGCGGGTGCTGGACGTGGACGGTGACGGCTTCCTCACCACGGCGGAGCTGCGCCACATTCTTCTGAACCTGGGCGTCAAGATGACGACGGAGGAGGCCGATGAGATCATTGCGGACGCGTACGTTGACGAGGAGCACCACGTCAACACGGACGACTTCGCGCGACTGCTTTTTTCGGACATGTACGAGGGAAAGATAGACTTGACGGAGTGAGGAGCTCCGACGGAGAAGGAGAGATTGTGTGTGTGGGGGGGGGGGCGTGTAAAAATGTACATGAGTCGCGGCAGTGAAGATGGATGCAGTGAGCAACTTCACCGTTATTGAATTGGCACACTATGGTGGCTACATGGTGATGCAGTTGTTGGCTTTTCGTCCCTCACTGCCTGNTCTCGTCTTTTTTTCTTCTTCTTTATTGGGCGGAATAAAGGAGCGCCCGCAAAGGTGCGCTCTTTCATCCCTTTTCGTTGTTTCTCCCCGCACCGTAGTCATGTTGTGCCGCCGCACGGGACGGGCATGTGCGGCCGTCGTCGTGAATAGTAACATCAGTGGCGGCCGCACTGCGCTTCAGTGTGCCCGCCGCCACACGTCCTTTGACTACGCTGAGTACAACAACAGAGACCCGCTGTTTCTGCGCCAGCAGCTGACGAGCAGAGAGAATGAAATGCGAGGCACGGTGCGCGCCTTCTGCATGAAGACGCTTCTCCCCCGCGTGACAAACGCGTACCGGCAAGCGCGTGACGACCGCGACATCTATCGCGAGCTGGGCGCGATGGGGGTGCTAGGACCGACGATTGACGGCTATGGTTGCGCTGGCGCCAGCTCCGTTGCCGCTGGCCTCATCGCGTACGAGTTGGAGGCCGTTGACAGCGGCTACCGCTCCGCGTGGTCGGTGCAGTCGTCGCTCGTGATGCACGCGATCCGCGCGTTCGGCAGCGAGGCGCAGCAGCAGCGGTGGTTGCCGCAGCTGGCGAGCGGCGCGCTGGTCGGCTGCTTTGCGCTGACGGA